TTTTGCCACCTCCGATATAACCATTCCTACCCCCATCTCCCTTCTCCCCCGTGCCGCATTCTCTGCAATGTTTCGCCGTTACATTCTCCCCTCGAATGCGATACCTATACTTGCCTACGCGAACGACGGACACGTTCGAATAAATTAAAACGATTCTTTCCGTGACCTGCAACCTCATCTCAGCCCTCGTCCCGTCCTCGTCTAGCGAGCATCTTTGGTGACGGTGAGAGGGCAATAAATAAAATTAGCACGAACCCTGTGACAAATCGCACCGAGTTCCTGTTACTACTGTCTACCTGCGTGCGAATAGTTTATCGCGTTCCCGTTTATTGCAAATCGGATTCTTGAATAGATCGGGCCATTTGTCGCGCCGGTGTTCGGCCTCGCAAATCGAATTTGTAGCGATGAACACGAATCTGAATTCATGAAGACTGGCTATGATTTAAAAACGCACAAGATAGATCATATGTTTGTACGAACGTTTAACTTGTTTTTATCGTTTACAAATGTTTACAAATGAATTCGTCCCTAAAGTGACGTTTCACGATATTAAAAAACTTACGATGCGTACGATGAAATTGAATATTTACGCACAGCTGCATCTTCAATTATTAACTTAAAAAAAAATTGAATAAAGGAATATAAACATATAAAGCCAAAATTGAATTCTTTATTATTCATTATCTCGATTTAATTTTATCTGTATTAAAAATCCTTTCAAGTACTTTCTCCATTGAAATTATTTGGGATGTTGCCGTGAAATTTTATGAAAATGAGAGGTTGAGCATTTTCGGGAACTTTATTCAAAAATTCTAGTTTACACACTCGCGTTTCTTAATGGAAATTTATGCAGAACGCGCTACACGTAATTTCGGCTTTCTCCCCTTCATCAACAAGTCCGTCTGTCCGAGTCGGAAATGGCGACTTTATCATTCTAAATTCGCGCTAACTAATGAAAGTCGAAAATTATATTCTTTAGCGGAACGTTATGTTGCCGGAAATGATGTACTTTGACGAGATACGCATATCGTCTCTCATTCTCGTAAATCAGAGCGCATACATAAAATTATGCTCCGCGTCATTATCATAAAGAACTGATTAAAATCGTCAACAATGCCGAGAAGGAAAAGCACGATATGTAAATATTTCTTCAGCGAACAAAAAAAAAAAATATGGCAAAAACTGTACAATTCTTGAACTAAAATTCTAGAATTATCGTGTTAACTGCAACGTAGAAATGAAACAAAAAAAACGACGGTATTTACGGGGGATGTATGCGTTATGATATCATAACTTTACAAGTATAATGCGCGCGTATAAAATATCTAAATATAAACGTATACATTTGTTTTCCCCCCGCTCTACCTCTATACCTCTCCCGAATATCAACACTTGCAGAATATTAATAATTATACCAACGATACAGTGTTTGCTTTTCCGTTAACTGTATTAATAACTGCAACAAGGGAGTTCAATTGTGTTTACTGAAATTACATTCGCCGGCAAACAAATGCGTCGTCATAAATGCGGCAGTGCGATCGCATTGGTTGCCACGCATTCGAGAATGAAAATATATTTCACGAGACGTTTGCAGGCGTGTGGCAACGATATATTTGTGCGGCACACAACGCGATAGTCTCTATAATTATCGTACTACAATATATATTCGCCGCGTTATACGTCACGTTGCACGAAGCTGTACGAGGGATAAAACGGCGGCACTGCGGGCGGGGAGAAAAACGTATACGTATATATAATGCTTTTTCAGGCCGTAAACTTGTAATGTCATCAGACCAAGAGGGTCGCCGGTAGATGCTTGTAATCTGTCCGACCGTTTAATTAATCTCCGTTTGAACGCATAAAAATGCGCAAAGAGCGTTACGTTGATCTCTCAGCTCTGCAAAACTCTGCTATAATCCCTCCATTTAAAAATATGTCGTCTAGTCATCATCGCTAAAATGCCCCATCACTTCATATTGATCGTTGATTTTTACGTTAATTTTTTTATAAATAATTTCTTATGTCACAAGTTTAGAATTCAATCTCTTATATATACGTTCTCTTATACACCAAAAAACAGTCATATCGGAATTCATAACTCTTAGTGATATCCTGTACATCAATAGCGAAACAAGTCCTACGGCTATTTAGAAAAACTTTATATTGCGAATGAAACGTAAAAATTCCCCTGGTCTGACAAAATATTCGCTCGGCACACACGACCGATTCCTCGTTACTACTGAAATTCGTGCTGATATTATTGACCAATGAAATACCCTGTGATACGCAAACAAGTTATAATATAAAATAGCCACGGGTCAATGAGAGCTAATATTAAAAGTGTTTCTCTTGAATGAATGCGAACGATTGAAACGAGAAATTGAATAAAAATGTGTATTGCTCAATCGCCAAATAGATATATAATTCATAATAAATTTATAATTCACAATAGATATACATATAATTCATATTACTAAATATACAATGTTTATTTTGAGATTTTGCGGATACTAGCCATTAATCTTCAGCATCGGCCATTGAAACAAATTTGTCTAAATGCATTTGCATAATAACAGATTAATCGTTCTACTATATAATTACATTATATAGGCTTAATACATATAATTAAACTGAATGATTATTATAATGATATAGAGCGATGCCAATTGTTTAGAAATATTCGTATTAATAAAGATAGCATTACATAAAACATTATTTTATTTCTGATATATGCATTCTATATATAATTGCATTACTCTTTTAGTATTGTACATTTATACTGAATTCGTTTCCAGCATTATATTGTGTCTTATTTCTCGCGAAAATACACGATGCATCTAAGAGCGAATATTTGCGAAGCGCAACAACAATATTCTAGCCAATTTCTTATATAATTTCTCGTCGCGACGACAATAGTAAGGCATATATCGTAGACAATATTGCATTATTACTCAATCGTAATTTATAAATTGAAAAGACCCCAGGATAATATTCGTTGACAAAAGCCTTTGTTAGTTACACTGCCACAAATAAAATTAAAGGACGCCTAAAAGGATAATCCATGGTGTATCCGCGTTGAGAACAGCGGCAAATACATTTTCCCTTCCTTTGTCACCAGCTTTCAAATGACATCTCATTCGTATTGTAATTACGACGAATTTTTCTAGCACATTGCTGAATTAATTAATTAATTATATGTATATATAAATTGTCAATCTTTGTTTTTTTCTTACCTATATTTTCGCGGCATCTCTCGCGTGCAGTTTCGGTTTGAATCTTACGTGAAAACTCGAGAGAGCTGTCTTAAGAATACGAAGATTATGTTTCGCATAAGCTCCGACAAACTTCCGCCTCCATCGTTCCTCACCATCTCTTTGTAGCCGACTTAAAAGGCGGATGCAATTTTACTTTACGGATAATTAATAATTAAATATCGCGGAGCTTTCAAAGGTAGCGCAATACGGCACGAGAGACCATAATCGTCATTTTCTCATCTATACTATAATACGTTCCGTTTCTCGCTATATATTTTAAGTGTAACAAAAAAGAGTCATTACAAATAAAGATTCTAAAAATTACAAAAATATTCCCTTCAGATTTAAATGTCAAATTTTAATTCAAATAACAGAACACAATTTTAACAAGCAGATTTTTTAAAAATTTTTTCTCCGCATCATATTCAAATCGAAAATATAAATTTTTCCGTCAGACAATCTATAGATAGATGATAGATCAATGATTAGGATACCACTTAAACTGAAGAAGTCAAAAAAGGAATAGTGCTAAAAAATCAAAAGACCATAAACTTTTGCATCTGTAATTAATCCGTATAAGATTCGTGCATGCGAACAAAACCCGTAAACGCGATCTAACGATGTGCAAAAAGGATTATCCACTTCGATATACGGCGAAAGCTCCCACCCGGATACGGAAGCAGAGGCAAAATAAGCGGTCGTGGTGAGCGAGTATGTCATGGGGAAGAGGCACGTGCCCGGTATTTAGGAGAAGCAGTAACGTAACAATAGGCAAGTACAGGGGTGGAAACGGCGTAATGGTGTGTCGCGGTTCGCCCGAGCTTACTTTTATGTCTCACCAGGGAACCTCGACGCCGTCTCTTTCTCTTCTCT